CTCAGCATTCAGAAAACTAAGATTATGGCATCTGGTCCCATCACTTCATGGCAAACAGATGGGGAAACAGTGACGGACTTTATTTTCTTGGGCTCCAAAATCACTGCAGATGGTGACTGCAGCCATGAAATTAAAAGACGCTTGCTCCTTGGAAGAAAAGCTATGACCAACCTAGGCAGCATATTAAAAAGCAGAGACATTACTTTGCCAACAAAGGTCCATCTAGTCAAAGCTATGGTTTTTCCAGTGGTCATGTATGGATGTGAGAGTTGGACTATAAAGAAAGCTGAGTGCCAAAGAATTGATGCTTTTGAACTGTGGTTTTGGAGAAGACTCTTGAGAGTCTTCTGCAAGCAGATCCAACCAGTCAATCCTAAAGGAAATCAGTCCTGAATATTCACTGGAAGGACTGATACTGAAGCTGAAATTCCAATACTTTGTCCACCTGATGTGAAGAAGTGACTCACTGGAATTGATTCTGATGCTGGGAAAGATTGATGGCAGAAGGATAAGGGGATGACAAAGGATGAGATGGTTGCATGGTATCACCGACTTGATGGACATGAGGGTGAGTAAACTGTGGGAGTTGGTGATGGACAGGGAAGCCTGGTGTGCTGCAGTCCAAATGGTCGCAAAAAGTCAGACACGACTGAGTTACTGAACTGACTTACTGGCTAAGTAAGAGTGAGACGAGAGACCTAAGACCATAGTTGGTCTTCCTTGAAGAGACTGTGGATCTTGGAAGACACAATCTGTAAAGGCAATCTACCAACATGTGGTAATCCATTGCATGGATCATCTCAGTGCTGAGAGAATTGTTGGGGTCATTTGGAGCTATTGGAATGGGTAACAAATGTGGATGGAACACAGTAACACTGGACCAAATTATTTTTTGAAATTTATTTTATCATGTCATATCTTAGTTGCATCACATGGGTTCTTTGTTGCTTCATGTGTGCTCTTTCGTTGAGGCACACAGATTCTCTAGGTGTGGTGCGTGGCCTCTGGAGTGCATGGGATTAGTAGTTGCAGCATCTGAATTTAGTTGCTCCGTGACATGTGAGATCTTAGTTCCCCAACCAGGAATTGAACCTGCATCCCTTGCTTTGCAAGGTGGATTTTTAAGCATTGGACTACAGGGAAGTCCTGACCAAAGTATTCCTCAGACTAGATTTATTTGGGAACAGGGAATAATATTGCCTTTCTTTAGACAGATATTGACCTGACTTCTTCTTATCAATGATTCTTGTTTTGTCGTCTATTGGTGTGTCTTCCCCTCTACCCCCCTACTTAAAAATCCCTGGAGAGAAAGTCTTCCTAATGTTGTTTTACTGTTTGTGTTCTGTGCTTTGGTTTATTTCAAGTTTCAAAAATAATGTCTACATTATTCTAGGAAATGATAGCTTTTCTACAATGAGTGATAATCTGGGAATGAGGTAAGGGGGATAATGATTTTGCCAATAAGACTAAAAACATTGAAACATTCTAATGATAGGGTGGGAAAGGTGAGGAGTTTGGGTTCAAAATTAACTTTGGGAAGGAAAGCCAATTCCTTCATCATCTGAATTTTTCATGTCATTTTATTGACAGCTATACATAAAAATCCTATGTTCTTTTTTTTGGAATATAATTGTTTTACAATGTTTTATTAGTTTGTGCTGTATAACAAAGTGAATCAGCTATATGTACACATATATTCCCTCCCTCTTGAGCCTCCCTCCCACACTATCCCCATATCCCACCCCTCTAGGTCATCACAGAGCACTGAGCTGAGCTCTCTGTATTATATAGCAGCTTCCCACTAACTATTTTGCACATGATAGTGTATATATGTCAGTGGTACTCTCAGTTCATCCCACTCTCTCCTTCCCACCCTGTGTACACATGTCCAATCACTACATCTGTCTCTACTCCTAAGCTGCAAATTATTTCATCTAAATCATTATTCTAGGTTCTATATATGTGTGTTAATATTTGTTTTTACTCTTTCTGACTTACTTCACTCCATATGACAGATTCTAGGTCCATCTAGATCACTACAAATGACCCAATTTAATTCCTTTTTATGGCTGAGTAATATTCCATTATATATATTAAATATATATATAATATATATATATCCATCAATAGATGAGTGGATAAAGAAAATATGTTACATATTTACAATGGAAGACCTACGTTCTTAGTCATTATGCCACAGTGAGCTCAACCAAAGCCAGTGCATTTAGATTACTTCATTCTTAAGTTTTAACTTAATTATTTCGTTACCATCTTCTCCATGCTTAAACATTGAGACTTAAGCACTAACATGAGATCTAGGGCTTAAAAGCAAACACATGTAGTACAAACCCCACTGTGAACATTTTCTGAATCTCTTTTAGGAGTTTCCTTACCAGTCATAATGTAACTGGAGATCAGTTTCTGGAGTCAGACCCAGGTTCAAATCCCAGCTACATTCCCTCTTATCTCAATAACCTTAGGAGAGTTACTTAAACTCTCTGTGTCCAACTTTGCTCCTCTATCAAAAGAAACTAATAATACCAAATTTGTAGGGCTGTAAATTTAGCTACAAAGTGACCACTAAGACAAAAACCTTAGTGAATTTTTCCTTCCCCTCAGGGTCTATTCTCTCTCCTTCACTTTATAGCAAAACTTACTGAAAGAATTATCTTCTTATTCATTCCCTTCCTCTTTTTCTCTTCATCAACTTTCTCCAGTGTGTTTTCTGCCTCAAACTTTGTTCTTTGCCTTCCAACTTAATATCCTCTTCGTTGACTCAACTCAATGAAGGGCATTTCTGTCAGATTCAATGATGCCTTTGGAATGCCTTCCATTCTGTCCATATTCAATCCATTTCCAAATTTTGACTATTTTATATTTATCTCATAGATCCAGTCTTTTCCCTCCATCTCCACAGTCACTGTTCCCTCTCACCTGGCCTGTTGCCAGAGATTTATAAATGGTTCACCTTCAATTATCCCATTCATCATCCCCACCATGGCCAGTACATCTCTCCTTTGTGACAAGTTATATTTATTTGACCATTTGGTTTGTTACTTGTGCTTGTGCTGAGTCGCTTCAGTCATGTCCGACTCTTTGTGACCCCTTGGACGGTAGTCTGCCAGGTTCCTCTGTCCATGGGATTCTCTAGGCAAGAATACTAGAGAGGGTTGCTGTTTCCTCTTCCAGGGGATCTTCCTGACCCAGGGATCAAACCCTCATCTCTTACGCCTCCTGCATTGGCAGGTTATTTACCACTAGCATCGCCTGGGAAGCCCTGGTTTATTGCTATCTCCTCTACAAAAAAATGTAAGCTCCATGAGGTCAGAGATTGTATTTGACTTTGCTTACCACTCTATTCTTGGGGCTTGGCACCAAGTTTGTCACACAATAGGGGCTAAATAATTATTTTTGGAATGAATAAGGCATCTGCCACATAATCTGTGTTCTTACATGGGAGCTCCCATTGTTTTCCTTGATGTCATCATCATCAGTGGTGATTTTTTACAGAAACACTCCTTCCTCTTCAGAGGATAGCAAACTGAACATTAGGATATTTCAATCTGCTTGGCCTAGGGAAGTTCTCTGAACTTTTTTGCATCAGATATTAGCACACTCCTGATATTGCTCTAACACAGAGACAAAATAAGGATTTCGGAGAATAAGGTTATGCCCCCACTTTTCACAGTGATCTCCTTCCCTATCTTATGTGTACTTTTACCAATTCCTGCATCAAAGATTACCCCAAAACTTGAAAGCTTAAAAACAAACATTTATTATCTCACAGTTTTTGTGCGTCAGGAGTTGCAGCAATGGTCCTCTGGACCAGTGCCTCTCACAGGCTATTGTCAAGGTACAGTTATATCAAAGCTCATCTGTGGGGAGGACCTACTCCTTGCTTACCTATGTGGCTGCAGATCAGCTTCTGGTTCTCACTGGCTATTGAGTGGGGACACAAATTCCTGGTCATGCGGGCTGCTCTTAGAGGGCTCTTCATAACCTAGCAGCCTGCATTCCCCAGAGCAAAGACTCTAAGACAGAGAAAGAGAGATGGTGAGCAAGAAAGAAGTCACGGTGATTTCAGAAACTAATCTTCAAAGTGATATCCTATCACTTTTGTGGTATTCTGTATACTAGAAGCAAATCACTGGATCCACCCAACACTCAGGAGAGGGAATTACACAAAGGCAAGAACTCCAGGAAGCAAGGATCATTGGGGCCATTGCAGATAGAAAGCACCACCAGCAACTGGGGACTTCCCCCTCCTGAGAGCATGGCTTTCACTCAAGTCTTTTAAACCTTGTTTCCTTTAGGAATCACTGGGTACATCTGGGCCTCAATGCCTTGCCATCTTTCCCTTCCAGAAAAGAAAACAAGAGGGTGGGTTCTAGTCTTGTTTTCTTGTTCAAGAAAACAAGATGGGGTGGGTTCTAATGAGAATAACTGCCAGTGGACTGATACTTTTAGTTGACACTGAATTGTGGAGAGGACTCCAATTACTCCTTTTGGCTTGTCTGAACATCAGTCTCCTGATGACTTACTTTATAGCTTCATAATGAATATATTAAAAATAGAACTCTAGAGGTTATAGATACAGATTTTGACCTTGAGTTTCTTTCCTCCCCTCACCCCATCCCCCACTCTGCACAGAGGTTTTAGTGCTAATTTGAAATCATTCTGAAATTTCATCTCCTTTATCTTAATTTACATACCCAACATGTTTTGTCTAATTTTAATATAAATGTCTCACCAATGATTAAGCCACCTCCTAAGTGACTAAATTATCCATAATCCTTCACTCACACAGCTCAGACTGTAAGAGGAAAGGAGAGAATGACCTGTATTTAGCAGAGGTTTGTGGAAGAACCTTGGAAAATAAGTGGACATTGATGTCTTAATTTAAAGGAGAACTGTAACTGTAGAATTCTGTAAGAAAAATACTGAAGTGCATACCTGCAAGTATATGACTATTATCTCCACCTTGTGTTTCCTTCATACAGATTGTTTCCCAGAGAAAGCTGTCCAAATCCTTACTGAAGCACGGGAACACGGCAGGGAAATCTTCCATCACGGTGAGCCCTCCCTCAGTAGCCACCTGCTCAGGTGCCCAGATGGAGCCTGCTGGTCTAACCCAGCCTCGTGGGAAGCTGACCCTCTGGATGTTAGGGGTTGATCCCATAACTGCTCAGCCATACCAGTCACCTCTTTTTTTTTTCAATCTTTCTCCTTCCTAATAATACAATTTTGACCTTTTCACTGTAGGAAAAAGGATTTGAAAGTGAGGCCATTCACTTCAACTAAGCACTTCTATATTTAAATATAGGTTTTAGCAGGGAACAAAGAAAGAAGTTATTGATCATAGTAAGAACATGGAATTGTCTGGCATTTTCAAATTATCAAAACTAACTATCCCAGCTTCTCAGTTTCTTGAGAAAAAACATCTAATAGCAATTAGTCCAAGGTTTGGTCTGTTGCCTAATGATCAGAGAGCCCAGCATTTAACTTTTCTTTTTAATATGATAGTTTGGAGCTGCATTGTTCTATTTGGTAGCCATGTGATTTTTTCAACTTAAAATTATTTTAAATTAAATAAGAGCAAATAGTCATTCCTTACACTGGCCACGTATCAAGTGCTCAGTAGATCCATATACTGGACAGTGCAGATTACAGAACATTTCTGTCGTTACAGAATATTCTCTTGGGCAAAACTGGAAGTATTTCTAAATAAAACATACAATGTTCAAGATGAACTCCAAGATTTAAAACTTTGGCATCTTGTATTGAAGTTCTTGAGAAAGATAAAGTAGTCTAACCATTTAGTTGTGTGGGCAAAAAATAATAATAGGTTTAAAAAGTGCCAGAAGAATTTGAGTTGCTCGCAAGGCAAATTGCCTTAGGAGGAAAACCTAAGTTCTTTGAACATTCCTTTTTAACTCAAAACTGACTGATTCATTAAAAAAAAATTAAGCCATTTTTTAAGGAAGAATTTTAAAATATTTTATTTCTACTGGTGAAAGTTACGACTGTTCTCACAAGAACTTAGCTGAATTTGTTGGTTTGGGCATTTTAAATGAGCATTCATATCAGATCTATTTCTTGACTACCATTTTCAATCATGAACAAGTGGTTCAAATGGTCTTTGACGATGCCACTAGTGCTCTAAAAATCTCACACCCAAAGCCCACAGTCCTAGAAAAGACTTGGGATGGTGAACTCAGTTATGAGATCTGCCATAGTTCCTTCCCAGGAAAACAAAAGCTCATCTGCCCACGTTTTCTCTAAGAAGTATTGGGAATTTCCTTTCTCTACACAGCCCATAAAAACTCAATATCCTTCCTAATTTTAAATATTTAAAAACTACTCTTGATTTTGGATCCTTGGGTCAGAACAACATCCATAGCTTCTGGAAAACACTTGAAAATAAATGCAAATTTTTCTAGGCTTTGCAGATGAAAGTCATAACTTTCATCATCTTTACAAAGGTGTCTGTAACACAGGATAGTTGAAGACCATAGCTCAAGTGGAGTGTAAGAGGCATTAAAGGACAAAAGAGGATCAAATGAACAACCTAAATATGATCATTCCTGGTTTATCAAGTCATTCTTGAGTTTTTGCTGTAAAACTTGAGTTTTTGAGTTTTGTCTGGACCCATTTTCTCTACTCCTCAGGTGCTTACACCTTTGGAGGGGTCCTTCCCTCTTTAGATAGCTCTTTTAGCTTTAATTTTACTCATAAAATAAAAATTTCCAGAGGTTACCAATGTGTACTCAGAACAGATGAATGCAACTCATAATGAACAGTTTAGCTCAGATAGAATGGAGATAAAATTGAATTAAAACTCAATGTCTTCACATAATAACTTTGATAAGGGTGTCCACAAGGTCAGAGGCACTATGGCCTCTGAATGCATAGTGAAGTCTTAACATGACTTAGAAGCAGTTTAACCTGTATGCAACCACATTGGTCCCATATTTGGTTGTTGTCGTTGTTTTTCTCCTTCTTTTCCCATCAGTTTCTTTTTTAAGAGTTTAAGAGTCATTATTCAATATCTTTTTATGAAACAGGCTTTTAGATACTATTATCTCTTTGCTTATGTCAAAGTTGTTGTCAAGAATTCTGTTCTTTGGAGTTAAGGATTTAGATCCTTGTTCTCTTTCTTCCCTCCATGCCCCCCCCCCCTCCATCTCAAAAAGCCCAGGGACAGTCTTTTTTGAAGCATTGCAATTAGAACTTTCTTTGATAACCTTATAACCTTTGGTCTGGAAGGGCCATACAGACCAGTTTATTTCACAATCCTTTGTGGGTCTGGTTGAAAACAGTGGTGAAATATTGTTGCCTGCTCCTCGTTTTTTGGTCACTTCCCAAAGAAGAAAATATATATAATTATTTATGGACATGCTGTTCAGTGCTGTGTGGCCTTTGAAGGAGAAGCTCTTCCTAATTACTCCTCTAAAACTTCTTCCTCCAGCCTACACCCCATATTTCATGTTCTCATGCTCAGCACCAGTGAGGTCTACTTATCTCCTGTGGTCTGTTCTAGGGAGTTCCCTTGTACACCTGGAGATGCTGTGCCACATTCACTGGATTATGGGAAACTCCATGCCAGGTGTCAGTCTTTGTTGATTTTTGGATCAAACCTGAGCTAAATCGTTCATGAATCCCTGGTTTGAGTGGTCCAACTGCCACTGCATCTGATGAATGCTTTTTTTCCTTTAGGTGATTGCTGAGGAATTATCTGGTAATGATGACTATGTGGAACTTGCCTTCAGTGCACGGAAACTGGATGATAAGGTAAAGTGTTTGGCATCAGCCTTATTGAAGTAATAAAGCTAGCACACAAAGCTTAATAAGATTTCCCCTCACAGCTATTTTTTCCCTTTCAACTCACATTATTAAACAGATCAATGATTTCAGAGAGGATGGAAAGTAAGACTTCCTCCCAATTGAGAGGCAGTTAATGAGAAGAAGGAAGGACTATAATTAAAACAATTTTATAATTAAGTTTATAATTAATAATTATAATTAATTTAACTTATAATTAAGACAATTTTATTACACTAAGACTTCATTTGTTCCCAAATGCTACAGGTCACATGGCATAGGTGAATGTGATTTAAACCCATTGCTAGGAACTTTTCAAAGGAAAAAAGAAGATGGGAAAGGGAAGAAAAATGGCGTTTTTTAAGCATCATATTTGCAGGCATGGGGTTAAGAGCCTTTCAAGCATGATCACAGTTAATCATTCTTATGGCACCCTTGTAACAGGTATATTAAATCTGTTTTACAGGTGAAGTAACAGATTGAAAGATGAAGTAATTGTCTAAAGTCACTCCATGTGTTAGTCCAAATAATCCAAGAAATAGACACCAAGAAAGAGTTAATGATGCAAGAAGGATTTTATTAGGAAAAATGCCTGTGTGGGGAACACAAGAAGGAAATCTAGGAGAGCTGACAGACCACAATAAGTCTGAATACAAGTAAAGAAGAGAGGGAAAGAGATGGCAGTTTCTGCAACACCACGTAGTCTAAGGAAGGTTCTACAAAGTCAGCAGGGAGTCCTGTGTGTCTCCCATGAGTACCTTTATAGCCCCTACACATGCAGCAATGGCTAGGAGCAGCCATGTGCAGCCTGGCCTTGGAATGAGGGCAGGACTGGATTTCAGAGTACAAAAGCACTCAGTTACATTCCCTAAGTGGGAGGTCTGCAAAGCACGTGCCAAAGTGCTAGTTGGTGGTAACTCTGAGTACTCAGTCCCCGGTCAGCCTGACTTCCATCTGTACTCTTTTGGTTATATCTCACAACTTCCATGCAGTCACAGGCCATGTTAATCTTGTATATACAGAAAAAATCCTATAGACTCAACCCCTTTAAAAAAATGTCTCCTCTCCAACCATAACATCATATCCACCAGTGTATTCACAGAGGACTCCATTTTCCTAGCATACAACTAAAGAGGTGATTTGGGGATGTGGTGCTACTTTTTCAAACAATTGCTTGTAGGCGTTAGACAGAAAAAGGAAAAAGTTTTTTCATAGCTCCCCATAGTATTAAGCAGCAGCTCATATCCTGGCATAGTTCATTTTCACACACAAAGAGTACTCAGCCTAATTATGTGTTCATTAATTCACTCTCCTATCTGTTCATTTATTCACTCCTCCATCATTCATTTACCAAACCTTTGTTGTGTGCTTGTCATGCATCTGTTGGTGGCAAATGGGCATCCCTGGAACCATTCTTATATCCAAAACCTGTAATTCACCATCCAAGTGACACATCAATTTAAACGACAAATGACAAAATGATACTAAAGCTATAAGAGGATGATACAAAATCAGAGTATCCTGAAAAGGGTAATCCATTCTGCCTTGGAATAATAGGAAAGACTTTGTTCTTAAGAAGAAATCACAGTTGGATTTTCTTGTTATCCTGAGTGGATTGTGTGACACTTTCACACACTGTCACCTTTTGACATTAGCTGAATGAGGTACTGGGAACTATAGATTGCAATGGTGTCAATGGAGTGTAAGATCTTACCACTCACTTCCTGTGCTTATCAGGCTCTTTCTCTCTATCACCTTCAAGTTTCAGAATAATTCACCAGACTCCTTTGTAGTATCTTGCCTGGGGACATTATAAGCCGCTGGGTCAATGTGTAGCAGTTTTAAACTACTCACTTCATGGCTTCTCATGACTTCTTTCCACTTAGTCATGCACCCCAACTGACTTACGTTACAGAGCAAGAGGACATGGGGGTTTGTCAGTGGGCCCATCAGCTCTAAGGTGTATAAGCAGTTTCCCTTCATCCAAATGAGCACTTGCTCACAGAACTGAAAGATCCCCAACCACACCTGCCATGGTTCTCGATGGCTGTGCCCACCTTGGACTGTGTAGATTGCTCATTACTGAGACCCCAGTGCCCTGGAGCCACAGACCACAGGTCCTCTGTAATGAGGTGGGGTCTTTCCCAGACTCAGTCACCCAGAGAGGAGTGGGCCCTGTTCATAACAAAGTAGAAGTCATTGCTCCAATGTGGACTAGGAGGTGAATGGTCTCAGATGGATAGAGATTGTAGAGATGAGGAGCAAGATGATACCATGATGATCAGCTCACACAACCTCTTCAGGAAACAGAGGCTCAGCAAGCCCTGATGATTTACACCAAGACACTGCTGTCTGGTTATTTATTGCTGTGTCACAAACTACCTCAAAACCTGGTGACTTTGAGTAACAGCTACTTTTTTATATGTCATCATTTTGAGGGTCAGAAATTCAGGCAGGGTTCAACTGGGCAATTCTTCTGTTCCTTATGATGTTGACAGAAGTCACTCAGTTAGGGACTTCCCTTGTTGAATTGTTCCAAATTGTTCCCAATTCACCTGCCAACGCAGGGGATGTGGGTTCAATCCCTTGTCTAAGAAGATTCCACATTCTGTGGGGCAACTAAGCCCATGCACCACAATTGTGGAGCCTGAACTCTAGAGCTGTGAACCACAGCTACGGAAACCCATGTACCCTAGAGCCCGTGCTCCACAACATAAGCTACTGCCTGAGAAGTCTGCCCACCATAACTAGAGAGTAGCCCCTGCTTGCTGCAACTAGAGGAAGCATGTGCCCAGCAACGAAGACCTAGCACAGTCAAAAATAAATAATAAAATTAAAAAGAGATCATTCAGTTATATTCAGCTGGTGGAAGAGCTTTACTTGCATGCTTGGCATATAGGATTGCTGGAAGGCTGGGCTCCACCAGGTTGGTCAGTTGGAGTGCCTTCCTGGTGGTCTTAGGTTTATCACATTTTCTATATGGTGGCTAGCTTGAGATATCATTCCAAGAGAAGCCACTGAAAGTCATGTGGTCTTTCCTTTTTTAAATTTTTTATTTCGAGGATAATTGCTTTACAATGTCATGTTAGTTTTTGCTGTACACAGCAGGGGAAGGAGATGGTAGGACGGACTGAGAACGTAGCACTGACATAAAAACACTGTCGTGTGTATGGCCTTTTCTGACCTAGCCTTGAAAGTCATGCATTAGCCCTTCTGCTGCTTCTGTTGGTTACAAGTGAGTCATAAGGCTGCCCAGAGTCGAGGGGAGGAAAATGACTCTATGTCTTGGTTGGGGTGCGGCAAAATCATAATGCATAAAAAAGCGTGTGGATGTTGTAGTGGAAAATGCAACCTGCCACAGTATTTTTGTGACAGAATCAGAATAAGAGAGGACAATTATTTCATGTCACAGCTAGTAAAAAAGTTCCCAGCGGTTCTCAAGGAAGACCTCCTTCTAGCCTTAGCACCAAATGAGGTTGTTGCCCTCTTCATGTTAACAGTTAAACTTATGTCTATTAATTGAGAAAACAGACCATGACTAAAAACCACTGAGGTAAACAGATCTCTTAATTTAAAACATTTTGCTAATTAGCATCATGAGAGCAACTAATTTCTACCTACATTTGAAAAATTGCAGTATGAATATGCTCTATCCAATTCAGAATAGCTATGGACATCTGGGCCCCCAGTCTCCTTGAAGTAATTCTCCAGTTATGCACATACCTCTGGTAGAAAACTCTGGCCTAATGCAAATAGCCTTCTTTTACATATGAAAATGTCAACATTTAGGGATGTGAAATGACTTACCCAAGGCCACAGACGCTCACACCCACACTCACGATCAGTGACAGAGAGGAACCCAATCAGTTTGCCCAACTACCATCTAAATCTTTTTTGGGGGCAGAGACTTAATGAACACAGGTTAGATTGGTCTTGGGCTATGGAGAACTTGGTTATATTCCCATGTATTTCAGGGAAGAGGGGATCCAGAGAAGAGGAAGATGAGGGTATGTATGCTATTAGGCAGCAGTCCTCAAGGTGTGGTCCCAGGTCCCAAGACCCTTTCAGAAGAATGTATTAGGTCAAAACCATTTTCATAGCAATGCTAGGACATTATTTTCTATCTTCATTCTCATTCTGTCACATGTGTACAGAGATTTTCCAGAAAATACTTGATGCCTAGTATCACAAGAGATTGAATGCAGCAGCAGATATGAGAATCCCACTGCCTTCTATTCATCCAGTCATTAAATTGATTTACAAAGATGTAACATAATGGAATTCTTCTGAAAATTTTATATATTTGGAAAATATAATTATATTCCATTAATATGCTATTTTATTATGATATAATTGGTTTATCTTTATTATTTTAAAAATGATATAACAAATGAATATTTTTAAAATTTCTCAGCTTTAGCTTATAATATGGTAAAATATTGTTAGATATAATCCACATAAACAAAAGCCCCTTGGTGTCCTCAATAATTTAAGTGTATAAAATGGTCCTAAGACCAAAAAGTTTGAGTATATTACTTTTGCAAACCAGGAAGATGAGTAAATGTCTCTTTTCTTTTGATAGAAGTAGTTTAAAAAAAAATTGCAGATGAGAATAATTCATTTTTTCAGAGCTTGTAATGGCTTTACAATATTGTATTGGTTTTTTCCATACATCAACATGTATCAGCCATAGATACACACATGTTCCCTCCTTCCTGACCCTTCCTCCCACCTCCCACCCCATCCCATCCCACTAGGTTGTCACAGAGCACCAGATTTGAGCTCCATGGGTCATACAAAAAATTTCCACTGGCTATCTAATTTTATATATGGTAATGTATATGTTTCAATGCTACTCTCTGAATTAATCCTACCCTCCACATCCACATATCTGTTGTCTATGTCTGTGTCTCTATTGTTGCCCTGCAAATAGTTTCATCAGTAGCATCTTTCTAGATTCTATGTGTGTG